TGTCTCACAGGAAGTTTGAGCACCCAAGGCACGGGTCACTTGGTTTCCTACCAAGGAAGAGAGCTAACCGTCACAGAGGAAAAGGTTAGCTTTTTCTTCATTTTTAGATTCTTTGTTTGATTGAAATGATGATTAGCGTTTGGAGTGGAAGATCTGTGCTCTTGTTTGTTATAGATTTGGGAATTAGTATTCTCTTTATTAACATGTTAATATTTGGAATTGATATAATCAGTGAAGGCATTCCCTAAGGATGACCAAGTCAAGCCTTGCAAGTTCACAGCTTTCATGGGTTACAAAGCTGGTATGACCCACATTGTTAGAGATGTCGAGAAGCCTGGATCCAGTGAGTGGTTCTTGTTCGTTTTCTTATTCTTCATGTCTGCTAATATATTATCAAGATGTGTATAGTCTGATTGTGTTATTCTACAGAGCTTCACAAGAAAGAGACATGTGAGGCTGTTACCATCATTGAGACACCTCCAATGGTGGTTGTTGGAGTTGTCGCCTATGTGAAGACCCCACGTGGTCTTAGGTCTTTGAACACTGTCTGGGCTCAGCATTTGAGCGAGGAAGTGAGGAGAAGGTTTTACAAGAACTGGTGCAAGTCTAAGAAGAAGGCTTTCACTGGCTACGCTAAGCAGTATGAAACTGATGATGGAAAGAAATCCATCCAGTCTCAGCTCGAGAAGATGAAGAAGTACGGAACTGTCATCCGTGTTCTCGCCCACACTCAGGTATCATTTGCTTGCTTACTGAGCTAATCAAACGTAGTCTGAACACCAAATAGATCCTGATTACAGTTAGAATGGTATTACTATATCACTATTTAAAGAACAAATTGATGCAATTCTGTTTCCTTGATTATGGATTGGTTGTGTATATTGCTAGATACTATTCTGTTTCCTTGATTCTGGATTGGTTCTGTGTAGTGGTAGATGCTATTCTGTTTCCTTTACATATTCTGTTTCCTTTACATATTCTTTTTTATTTGCTCTCTGCAGATCAGGAAGATGAAGGGTTTGAAGCAGAAGAAGGCTCACATGATGGAGATCCAGATCAATGGTGGTACAATTGCCCAGAAAGTTGACTTTGCCTACAGTTTCTTTGAGAAGCAGATCCCAATTGAAGCTGTTTTCCAGAAGGATGAAATGATTGATGTGATTGGTGTGACCAAGGGTAAGGGTTACGAAGGTGTTGTCACCCGTTGGGGTGTGACAAGGCTTCCACGTAAGACTCACAGGGGTCTGCGTAAGGTGGCTTGTATTGGTGCGTGGCATCCTGCTAGAGTCTCCTACACTGTTGCCAGAGCTGGTCAGAACGGTTACMATCACCGTACTGAGTTGAACAAGAAGGTGTACAGGTTGGGGAAAGTTGATACTGAGAGTCATTCAGCCATGACTGATTACGACAGGTCAGTAGTATTTCTCTTTTCTGCTTCGGTTGTGTTTTGATGGCCACATTGACTGATGATGTTGATGTGTTTATGATAGGACCGAGAAGGAGGTGACCCCAATGGGAGGATTCGCTCACTACGGTGTGGTGAGGAGTGACTACTTGATGATCAAGGGTTGCTGCATGGGTCCCAAGAAGAGAGTTGTAACTCTCAGACAGTCGCTGCTCACCCAGACTTCCCGTCTTGCCATGGAAGAGATCAAGCTCAAGTTCATCGACACTTCCTCAAAGTTTGGACATGGTCATTTCCAGACCGCCGAGGAGAAGCGCAAGTTTTACGGTCGTGCCAAGGCTTAAACAACAAGTTCTTCTCGTAGTTTATCTCTTCTCACTGGCTTAAGATAATACTCTTTTGAACTATTCGTCTCAGTTTTGTGTTTTAGTTGTTTGCGAGTGTTTGAACATCTGTCTTCCTTGAATGTCATTGAAAGATAAAACTCTTTTGATCTATTTGCGCCTCAGTTTTGTGTTTTAGTTACTTGGTGTTTTTGAACATCTTTCTTCTTACTACTCTTCCTCAGTTATCTGCTTATTTTACAATCAGATTGAAATCGTAGTGCAAAATGAGAAGATACAAAAAATGGAAGATCTAATCAAAGACATATTGTATTGTAGATTTGTAACTAAACCTGAATGGATTAAAGTGTCGGACTTCACTGGAAACAAGCTCTGGTGCAGCGATGGTTAATTATGAGTAAAATGTTGGTTTCAGCTTCATTTCCTTGCTTATGTTCTCTCAATTCTTGGGAGCCTTGGATAGTTGATAGCTGCACATGGTTTTATCACAAAGGCTAGGTCTCTCGCTAATCGTTGTTCGTAAATCTCACTGTTTTGCAAGTGCCCTTGTTACCAAGTCACAGGATTTTGTCTCCAAGTCGGTTCTATGTCTGGATTCGGATCTTGTCTGTAATGCACACCAGGTGTTCGATGAAATTCCAGACTTGAATGTCATTTCTGCTACAGCTGTGATTGGCCGCTTTGTAAAGCAAAACAGACATGTAGAAGCAAGCTATGCTTTCAAAAGGTTGTTGTATTTGGGCATCAGGCCAAACGAGTTCACGTTTGGCACGATCATTGGGTCCTCTACATCTCTAAGAGATGTCAAATTTGGCAAGCAGCTACATGGGTATGCGTTAAAGATGGGACTTTCGTCGAATGTGTTCGTTGGTAGTGCGGTTTTGAACTGTTATGTGAAGCTGAGCACGCTGCTTGATGCTCGTAGAAGTTTTGATGACACGAGTGACCCAAACGTTGTTTCGATAACCAATTTGATAAGTGGTTACCTTAAGAAACATGAGTTTGAGGAAGCTCTTTCGTTGTTCAGAACAATGCCAGAGAGAAGTGTTGTGACTTGGAACGCAGTCATTGGAGGGTTTAGTCAGACGGGTCGGAATGAAGAAGCTGTGAATACTTTTGTGGATATGTTAAGGGAAGGTGTAGTGATTCCTAACGAATCAACCTTCCCTTGTACTATAACAGCTATATCCAATATAGCTTCTCATGGTGCTGGTAAAAGTATCCACGCCTGCACAATCAAGTTCTTGGGTCAGAAATTCAATGTCTTTGTTGGGAATTCTCTGATTAGTTTTTACTCGAAATGTGGAAACATGGAAGATAGTCTTTTGACTTTCGAAAAGCTCGGAGAAGAACATCGAAACATTGTATCTTGGAACTCTATGATATGGGGTTACGCGCACAACGGAAGAGGAGAAGAAGCTATAGCCATGTTTGAGAAAATGGACACAAACCTGAAACCAAACAATGTGACACTTCTTGGACTGTTATTTGCGTGTAACCACACAGGCCTAATCCGTGAAGGGTACTCGTATTTTAACAAAGCGGTGAATGATTACAAGGATCCAAATCTGCTACAACCTGAGCACTATGCTTGTATGGTTGATATGCTCTCTAGGTCAGGTCATTTCAAAGAAGCAGAGGAACTTATCAAAACTATGCCTATTGACCCGGGAATCGGGTTTTGGAAAGCATTACTTGGGGGATGCCAGATTCACTCAAACAACCATATAGCTAAGTTAGCTGCTTCCAAGATCTTGGAGATGGATCCTAGAGATGTTTCATCATACGTTATGCTTTCGAATGCTTACTCTGCTGCGAAAAAGTGGCAGAACGTGTCGCAGATACGAAGGAAGATGAAGGAAATGGGATTAAAGCGTATTACGGGATGTAGTTGGATTGAAGTTAGAGGCAAAGTTCGAGTCTTTGTCAATGCTGACAAGAAAAACGAACTGAAAGATCAAGTGTATGGAGCCTTATCACTTATTACACAATATCTGAGGGAAAAAGAAGACTTTGTGGAAGACTTGTGAATGCAACTGCACTTCATTTTTCTTTCTCTTCTTCTTGTATCATTTGCAGCGATCAAAGAGTATCAAAACAACACCATTTTTGGTGCTATAAAGACATCAAGAGATTCTCCAATATAATAAGCCTGTGAATTACC